ATGGTCATCATTGTGCATAGTTGACAAAGGTTGACACATTTGTTCTTTTTAGCCATATAATAAAGTAGCATTATATCCTTTTGAAACCCGAAGAGGGTTGAATGCTGTTTTCTATTCTTATTCGACACAAATTCAGGTGGGATAATCTTCTCATCCCTGCATATTGTTCCAATGATAGAAATTTTATTTTCCTTTAAGAAATTGGCCAATTTATAAACTGGTATACCAACTGTGGTAACGTTTCTTCCTGAATTGTATAATGGAGTTAGGATGTGCTTTGCTTTTTCACAAGAACTGTTGACTTTCTTGTATGGTCCATCTGGCTACTGACCTGAGTAAATTTCCACGTTGAAAGTATAGAAGGTTCTAAAATCAACTACAGTAAATATACCATATCTTATAGGTTTCTTAGGCATATACTTAAGAAAGGAGCATCGTCCTTGAAAAGGTTCTAGCTCTTCGTCCAAAGTCGTGTATTTCCCTACATGATATAATTTCTGACAATTCTTGACAAAATTTTCAAACAAATCTCTTATTGGAGCTAATTTATCACTCTTTCTTCTGCCATCCCGTGTTCCGACATCATCAAATCATAAGGCACGAATGAAAAGAAAACGCTTATAGTTCATTGTTTTACGAAAAATATTCAATCCTGTTCCATCAGTCACCCATAATTCTGTAACATTTACATGGGAGGATAGATAATGGGAATGGGATTTACATAAGTCATAAAAAAGCAAGAAACACTTCTTTCTCCATAGGTTTTGCATCTCTTTAAAATTTCCCGAAATATTTTTTACATAAATATTAGAGCATTTCGCAATCATTTCAATCATTGTGTCATCAAATATTAGCTTCCATGCATCGATGGGTGAAGCCACATCTTAAGATATATGTGTATTGCCAGGCATTTTTTTATGATATGAGACACCATGCATCTTTGAATTCGAAAGGGTTCTTTCTTCCATTTGTTGTTTTATCTTTTCCTCTAAAATAGTCACTTTGATCACAAGGAATGTCTTCTGAAGAGTCACACTGTTTTTCGAATTCAGACTGATGATTACTAAATATATCTTCATCATCTAAATCTTGTAAGAAAGACAGTTTCTGAAAAGATGTTTGGAAACTTATAAGAAATGATGTTCTGCAAATTTACCTTAAAATGGACATAATTCAGTGCTGTATACATGAGTGCAATTTAGAATATCCAAACTGAGAAGGGAAAAAGCAATATTCTCATTTCCAGTAATGAAATAACCAACACTGTTGACAAATTAATACACCCTACGATAGCTGCAGTTCTAGGATATCATTGAAATAATTTCTTCTTATAACAGATGTAGGAAAAATCAGCAGCTCCAGTATTTTAGACTTATTAAAAACCAGCAGTTCCAGCATTTTATTCTGCATCAGGCCTAATGAAATTAAACATGACAACATCATTTTCTTCTGAATGATGCAGCCATACTGAAAAAGGTAGATGAAACACTTCTCAAAATGTTGTATCTGAAATGAGTCTTAAATGCTTTGCGTGAAAAGTTCATGAATTGTTGCCAGACGTTGACAAACCTATTTGTATTCTAAGGCTGCTATCACATGTCGGTTTATTTCGAAAGAACAACTGTTTGGAACAATTTTTCCGCTTTGTCACAACAGCCAATCACCACAGCTCGCTTTGGGGTCAACACAGAGAAACTGGTTCTCCATTACAAACAAGCTAACAGCATTCGGCACTGATAGCTGATTGGTTGAAAACGAACAACTTGCAACTTTTTTCGAAAGGAAGGAAAAAGTCGCACGTCTTTCTTTCAATAGTAAACCAGGCAGAAAAATTGTCCGAAACAGTTGTTCGTGTGAAACAAACGCCGTGTGATATGGGCCTAAGAAAGATCTTTTTAAGTCTCTTTTATAGTAAGAGTCTTTGAAGAGACTGCAGCTGATATATTAATTTTGACAAAATGGGTAACATGGTCAAGTGAGATTGTTATTATGCCAAGCAGTAATAACTTTAGGGGGCATGACAGTGTGATGGCCCAAGATACTGAATAATGAAGATTTAAACTTGGGTCAAACAATCCAGTATTCAGAATTGTATTGCTCAACTGCTTATGAACTTGAACAAAAGTATGAATATCTTGTTAGTGAAACCCATGACGTAAGAAAATCGGGAAAATTTATAAAGTTTTCAAGATTAAAACATGGTCGATTTTGTTATGAATCCCATGATTCTGACATTTTTTAAATACACTCCTGCTACACTAATAGAGGCGGAATGATCATTGTCCTGCTTACAACAGATACATCATGTCAATGTAGAATCTGAAGGAAAGTTTAGGCTATTCGAATATGGCAATGAATACCGGCTATGAACCTGAAGAAAGATGCCGTTTTGAACAACTTTCTAAGGGAAACTGGCTTGTATTTGCATTACATATGAGGTAACTAGAAAAATCAACCATGCAGCCTGCCCTTTAATCATGATATGAAACCAGATCAAACTACCAGTATTCAATATCAGTTGTAGGAAAAATCTGAAGAAAATGCTTGCAATATCATGTAATCAGAAATTAACAATGTGTTGCATAGCAGGATTACTTTTGCAAGTGTCAAGGTAAAGAATACTACTTTTTTTTTTTTTTTTTTTTTGTTTCTTTTTCTTTATATAGGTATTTAGCCATGGTATTCATTACATATATTCTCTGTCATTCATACAGAATACTAATATTTTAGTAAAAAGTGTCTTTTTCATTACGTGCTTTGCTTGTCGATATTCTCAAAATTATGTTTAATAATTAGTGCTACTGTACATTTAATAGATTCATTACTAAATAATACATTTAAAATATTCATTTTACACAAGCAATTTTTCAAAGTTGTTTTTTGAATTTACTTGCTGATAGCTTAAAATATTTTATTTTGAAACAACTGTCTTTTTTATAATAAATTTGACAATGCCAAGTATCTAATAATATTCAAATCTTTTAAGGTAGCATTGTAAATAAAACTAGAATAAGCATTATACATCTTGTTATCTTTCAAGATTCATTCAAACTTTGATTAATTACTCAAAGCAGTGGTTTACTAACTTTGATGACCCTGGGAATACATAAATACATAAAAGTATTTTGTCATCTCAGAGAACCAATAATTTTTTTTTTTATTCTAATCATCTATTGTATATAAACACCTAGCATCCTCCGAAAAGTAATTTTTAAAAATGCATTAAAAATATATCAAATTTTTAAGCATGAAAACTCATTTAATTTATTATTTTAGGTAAAAATAACAGTAATAAAAATAAAAACTGAATTTAAACTTAACCCACGTTAATCATAATATTTCAGGAGCTCTGTGGTTAGTTCTGCGTGTTTAAAGTCTTTTAAAAATTACGTAAGAACATAGCCATACTATTCTAAAGAGCCGTATTATATTCACCCCCCCCACCTCCGGCGATTTTCACCACCTAACACGGTACTGACGCACCGCTAGCCAGCGGCAAAACGGAGCCCCGAACACACAGCAAATACTATTCTCTTTCTAAAAGCGAACCAGGTTGCCAATTTGCCGGGTTACCAGCTTTGAACGTTTATCGCCATTTTTGGCGATGTTTACATTTAACGGATCCTTTGCAGAAGTGCTTCCCGAAAAGTATTCATGAATACAATACCGGTAACCAGTTTAAACCATTAGATATCCCCTTTTCTTGAAATTCTTCATTGTTGTTTGTTCATTACTTGGTACCCATATGCCCATTTCATCTAACAATTACTATGACAATTTTTATCTTCTTACATCTTATCACTTATCATTTTATCTTTTACTTAACAATTTTATCTTCAATTACTATGACAAAGAAATTGTAAAATTTAGGAGAATTCACGCCACTTTCTAAATGTTTTAAAGGAAGCGAAAAATTTTGTGAATGGTAAAAAAAAAAAAAAAATTTAGAATATTGTGCTAATAAGGGGAAAATATACAAGAAAATTTGGTATTTTTTTTAATATTGCAGTTATTAATGATGTCTATTTAATTTACAACTAATATTTGAATACTAACAAAAAAGTAAATAAATGCTTTATCAACTATACTTTTTCCCATAATGTGAAATTTTCTTTGTAAAAACTATGTAAAGCTTAAATATCAGCACAACTAATTGTAAGAATAGCCATATACATCTATTGTGTTCAAAGAAAAAAAACGAAAAAGATTTTCAAGACATAAAGATATAAAAAGTTATGTTAAACATTTAAACAATATTTCTTGGGGATTGAGGACTTTTAAGCTTTTCACAAAATATTGCTTCAGTTTTATTTATTTTTTTTTTTTTTTAGCCGTTCTGTGAGAACTTTTGCATTTTGTTCATTTTATTGGAAATTTTAATTGTGATTTCTATTTTTCAAATGATTCCATTTGTTCTCAAGAGAATTGATGTCTGGAGCTTTTTGTCCAGTACAGGATTTTTTTATGAATGTTGGTTGAGGGTGTGCTGTGCATAAGTTGAAGATAAGAAGCATTATGCTTTGGATTGTTGTTGAGTTATTTGGGCCTCAGTACTTCCAGTGGCATAGCTAAAGGGGGGGACATCTGTCTCCAGCCACAGCATCTTGAAGTCGTCTTGAATATGGAATTAATAGGAATTCTTAGAATGAAATTTTTTTACAGCTTTCAGTACTTCTTTTTATACATAAGGAAATTGATAATGTTTCCTTTTTGAAGAGTATGTACACGTATTAATTGCTACATTAAAAAAAAAGGGAGGAATATAATGCTATAGGAGAGACTGATTTATAAAAAATGACGTAGTGCAATTTACTTCACTATATTATGTAAAATGCTTTCAAACAGAAAATTCTAATTCTAGTTTATTGATATTTAGTAATAAATAGTAAGACTTCTATATAATATACATCATGTGATGAAATTGTATTTGTACATGTTCAAAATTAATCTTCTTGTGATTTAAAAAAATATTTAGTTAATATTTATTAATTTTTTCATAGGAATCCAAATTTAAAGAAACTGGTGTCTTGACTCCCGATGAGGTAATTTTTTATTGTGGTATAGTCAAAAGTCGTTAATCTGGACTCACCAGGACTTTGGCGATGCCGGATTATAGATTATCAGTTTAAATCTGGTAAGATGGCATGCAGAAATTATAAAATTAAAAATATGAAACCGTAATTTATGAAATAAAGAACAATTATGATCTAAAGGGTATCAAAATTTACAAAAAAAAAAAAAAAAAAAAAAAAAGCTTAATATTTATTTGTTTACTTTATTAAACGTTTCTTTCAATGCTTCATTTTTTATGTGATAATACATTCTCTTTAATTAAGACACAATAACACGCCAAATAAATACTAATTCACAAGTCAAACAACAACGCTGATTTTTGTTGTTTGACTTCTGAATTAACATTCTCTTTAATTCTATAAACAGACATAATTTCTTGTTCAGTTACAAAGTTCCGCTGTTCAAGTCCTATAATTGTGTCTACCGACTAATTTGTCAATTGAAATTTTTTCGTTTTCAATAACCTCTGTTACTTTCTTCGCTATCGGAAGCGAATTATAATGACGAGGAATTTGATTTAAATCATATCAAAGACCGAGTACATCGAGATGAAATACTACATTTAGTAAGGAATTATAAGCCAAATAAATTAGAAACATCTGCCCTGAAGATAAGGATAGTGCTGACAGATCAACTTCCAATTCATTGCGCGCCCGGGAGTGTTAAAAATAAACAAAGTTTAGATAAACAAAGGATATGCTTTTATCCATTTTTTGCAGCAATTCCACTTTTTGTTTAATGAACTTCGAAACATACATTCGCTTTTTAGATCCTTTACATATTAATAAATATATATCAGAAATTCTATTTGACATAATCAAAAGTTCAAGCTTACTTTTATAAAATTGCTCTAACAGTCTGCAAAAAATAATAAGCCGGATCCATTTCGAAGATTAAGGAACAACGCAATCTGCAACATTAACTGAAATAGATAATTAGATAATTTTAGCTTAGCTTATACCGTCCGTTATACATTACGCGCACTCGTAAACGTATTTTGCACACGAGCACAAGCATATTCGCAGCCGTAAAGGACTTACGCGCATGCGTCAACGCGACGCATGTGCAGAAAGTTTGTAGCTTTGCCCATAATCATTCCGGATTATGGTGTCCGAATTAACGACTTTTGACTGTACTTTCTTGTTAAAGTCATCTCCATGTAATTTGTTGGCCACTTTTAAAATTTGCATGTTTTAGAATTGGCAGCCAAGTTTACAAATTTTGCCAATCAATCGTAGCCACTGTAACAAAAAACTACTTTTTCTTTTGTTATTTTGTAGCATTGTAGTCAAAGTAGTTATTTTGAACTTTATTATTTAATTTGCTTTTTCGGTTTTTCATTTTTTTAGTTAATGATAGTTAGGGATTAATTTATATTTATTTGTCATATTAGTTTATGTATTGGGTTGAAACATAAATAATGGCTTTTACTTCAAAAATCTCTATTTTAACAAAACAAAAAAAAAGTAAATTATTCGATAATATCAGAGTTTTTGTGCTTTCCCCATAGACCCAAGATGTCGAACTAGAGTCATTTTGCTACAACCCATTAATTTGGCTAATTCTCAAGTGGTTTGATGCGCGTCTTCATGTAGAAGTAGATTCAAATGCTCTTCATCAAACCTCATTTGGTCGTCCGATACGAGCAGCATCTTCGAGGTCAAAATTTTGATTTTTGAATTTGGTAAACCAATTTCTTGAAGTTCATTCATGCATTGCACCTTCTCTATACACTTCACAAATCTCTGAAGCATTGGCGCCTTGATTAAACGCAAAAAGAAGGTGTCGAAAATGCTTATTTTTGTCGACCTGACACTTCATTTTAATGATCTGAAAAATAACAAAAATTAGCTCAGACAAAAAAATAAATTACGCAATCTTGTAGAGGGAAAGATTCTCTTTTGAATAAAACAAAAAATTATGCCAATACATTTTATTTTTATTGCATAATTTTAAACACAACATAAACGGCCATTACTTATGTTTCAACCCAATATTTTATTTAATTATTCAGAAGTAAGTTATAATTAATTTATAGAATAACAGAATTGCACAAACTCGGCATTGTGCACAAAAAATATATAATCTCGATAAACTGCATTCTAAATCAAAGAATGAAATAACATAAAAAAGCACTACACAAAGGAAATAACTACCTAACTTATTTAGAATTTTCTCTCAGTCTGTGGCACACAAAATTCCTAAACAGCATCCAAAAACTTTACTCAAACCATGTTCCCTTTCTAACACAATGCTTTATATGGTGATCATTTGAACCTTTCTTGCGACAAACCCATTCAAAGCCATCTGAACGATCTTTACTCTCGACCATTTGCATTTCCTTTGTACAAACAGGACACTTATAATTGTTACTAAGTAAACCTTCATTTACACACCAGTCAATTAATGCTTCTCCCCCTTCATCCCAAATCCTATAGAAATTTCAAATTAATCTTACCAAATTCAGCCATTTTATAATGTAAACCATAAAATAAACAACTTCCTAACCAACATCCAACACACAAACAAGCCCTTACAAATCTTTTCCCATCAATCAGATTCACGCAACTAATTACGTCATAATAGGGTTTTCATAACATTCAACTACTCAGGTTACCATAAATGAAACAACAACTTGGCGATAATCCAATGGGCACCCTTTACTTAGGTTCCCATAAATGAAACAACTTGGCGAGGACACCGTCAAATATAGGCTAGCCAGTGATTTTCGTCAGCTTTAAAAAAAATTTGTCAAACTATTATCATAGATCAGTAATCTTTATTAACATATCAAAAGAAATACATTTTAGCAATTTAGAATATAAATTTTAATTATGAAATAAAGATTATGTAAAACATATTGCATATTAACTGGGTAATCCAGCAACTTTATATGTAGCTTGGACATAAACTGGGCCAGAAATATAAAACGCAACTAACTTTCAACACTTAAGGAATCTGTTAACGTCAGGTTTTCATATCTGATCTGATTAGCATATCTCTCTGAAGCAGCAGCTAAGCCCCTGTTGCAAATCATGTTGATTATGATTTTACTTTTTAATTTATGCTGCTTGACAGAAAACTTGCATAAATATCTGTATTGAGCCAGTACTCTGCAATAGGAGACATAAAAAACGAATTATTATAAAGCTATTAGTAAAACATACCGTATGTTCACAAATATCAAGTGAAGTTTTTTTTAATAATTTTATGGAAAAATCGAGGTGTGCGGCTTACGAAAAACAAAGCAATATAGGCCAGGTAAAGCGCAAGTTGGTTGTCATAAATTATTTCTTTTTGAAGCTGGGTAGCTCCAAAAAATATAACATTATGTGATGCTACTGTAGCCTCTTAAATAACAAATCCTGGCCAGGGATTTGTAGAGGATAATACCACCACTAGCAACCATTATTGCTCATTTAAAGGAGCACTGAAAAGAATGTACACAGAATGGATGGCCGCTGGAAATTACGCACTGACACTAACTGGTTGCATCAAGAAGCCGGAAATAACTCGAATCTTGTGGATGTATCATAGTTGCTTGGGATGGAATTTCACAAGAACTTGATGTTAAGAGCTTCAAAAACTGTAGAGTATCAAATAGCATGGATGGAAATGAGGAATCTGCAGTGTGGGATGATGGGGAAGAAAGAATACCGGCAGTTCGGAAAGCAGTGCAGAAGTTTAATGATCAACATTGTGTTTCCAGATTGAAAAAAAGTGGGAATAGTGCCGTGGTGTGGTAAGTTATTTGCCATTATTAGATTACCAGTAGATTTTAAAAGATGACTTTGGCCTTTTAAATCCATATTTAGTACAGTGATTGTTGCCATCTGAAGCTGTTGTTTAACGAATAAAATTTTATATAACATACTTAGATTAGCAGTTTTTTCTTTTTGCCATAGAATTAAATTCTGCTAACCCATTTATTCCTTCCCATTAAAATGTTACTGGGTACATGTTGCTACGTACCTTGGCAGGAGCTGCAGGTGGTAGCACAGATTTTTTCCCCGGATAACCGTCAATTGGTATCATATTTCTTTGTTTCTTTATGCTTGTAATTCAGAAAAAAGTTTTTTTCTGTAAGTTAAGCTTTCAGTGGGCTTGATGAAAATATGTGTGCCTTATTCATGGACATTCTTTTCTTGTTTGATGCATCGAAAAAATCGGGTGCGCTTCTTATTTGGTGGCGTGTGGTATTCGTGAGCATAAAGTAAATAAAATGTCACTAACCATCTTCAAAATATATGGGACTATTCTATAAAAAAAGTAAAATTGCATAAAATATAAATGTTTCAAATGATTTGCAGTTTAATACTTATTACTAAATTTTATGATTTTATTTAAAAGTTAAGTTTGGCCATAGATAATTGCTTTAATTTATTAAATTCCCTTTTACTGATGAGTCTTTTATTTTTTACATTGATCATCTTTAAAAGTATTTAATTGCCATGTACAGTACAAAGAACTGTGTACAAAGTCTGATTTTTCCAGAAGCGTTTAAAAATGCATTAGTATATGTTTTGGAGAAGTTGACAGAGGAAGAGAGCTGTATGAAACTTGAACAAAGTCATCTTATAAATCACTGCTGTGGGCATTAACAGATGGAATCCCTGGACCCATTTATAATTCATGAAGCTTTTTATAGATCAAATATATAATTGATAACAGCAGCAGTCTTCCTCAAAGAGCAGTCATGGAGTTTTTTAACATCTTTTCATTTAGTTAATGCCATTCATATCTTAAAAATACTTTTGTTAATTTCCTATTTTAGTGAACCCTCATATGGTAATTACCTCCCTGAGACTCTAGCATGCCTCTGGAAGTGATCAGTATTTCTGAGTACACAGACAGATATTAGCACAGAGCATTGCCATTCTAAGACCACTATTTCCACTGAGGACCAAAAGTATTTGAAATCATAAATGGTCATTGTAGAGAAGGTTCACTGAATATCCTAAATTTTACTTAGCCCAAATTTTATGCATCCCTTCTTTTAGATGTGTATTACAGAGTTAGTCTGCATTATTTTGTCATTTAAATTATATAAGCTAGCTAGGCTATTTTAGAAGAATAAAGTCTAGGTGATTTTTCTGTTTACAATTATATAGTGTTGATTTTTAAGCAGTTTTATATTTCACTTTGAAAAAACATTTACTATTTAACAAACAAATTAAAATTTAAAATAGTACATTATAAAATTTCTAAATATTTTCTTTAGTGTATTACATTTTAAGATTTTATATTTGTTAATGCAATTCTTTAACATAATTTATACTGACATACTATGTATCTGACTATGTTATACTATTTATACTGACATACTATGGCTATGTTATGTAAAGTTGAATGAACTAAAGAAATGTACCGTTTATTCTGGTGTATAATGTGCAACAGTGTATAACGTGCACTTGTAATTTCAGATTACATTTTTGTATATGAAGATAAATTTGCCACATAATGCACACCCTTGATACTGTTATCTTTTTAAATCGTTCATTCGAATATTTTTCACAGGCTTTTAAACGTTGGTACACAGAACTGACAAACGATAAGGGAAACAATATGGGGTGGGTGAGATTGCTTGAGGTATTAAATAATTCCGAAAAGACAGTGGGTTGTATTCAATGCAACTTTGCACAAGAATGTTATTCTAGGGTTTCAAGAAAAGAGGGAAATAATTTGGGATACGAATATACTTACGACCCAAATGAATTCCCGGAATTAGGAGTTGGATCTTATCTCTTTCTGTAGTCATTTGAAGACATGTCGCCCAGATAGTATAGTGGTAAGGGGAGGAGAGCCTACTACAGTATTAAAGAGCCCAGGTTCAAATCCCGGAGGAGACATTCGGTGCGGCATGGCAGCACTCTAAATACACAGTGAGCCGAAAGTCCTCGTGTAGATTAGTGGGAGACGAGATGGGTGGGAGACCCCTGGGTGCTCTGCTTCAAAGTTGGGGGTAGAAAATAGAAGTCCAACCTCTTTTCAGATAGGCTCTGGCAACCATTATTCCATGTAATATGGACAAGACAACAACATTTGAAGCCGTGATTTTGAAGTAAAAATCAAAGGCTTTAGTAAATTGCATTTGCTTTAGCTGAAATACAGTTGATGTAGTGTTTCTTTTAGTAGTAAAATGGTTTTTGCCAAATGAAACAAACACAGTGCAAACACAATGCAAAGTAATTCAGTTTATAAAAGAAAATGGAAATTGTGCTGCAGCAAGGATGTTTAATTTTGGTGAAAGCTTGATTGAAGAGGAAGAAAAATGAAACCACAATAATTATTATGCCGAAGATTGAATGTGCTTTGCAGAAAGAGGTAACGAAATGGCTTATCCTTGGATAAAGTGTTGCGAACTGAGTCCTAGAAAATGGCCAGTAATAGAAATCAAATTTTTATATGCTTATCTTTTCCTTATTTTTAAATCTATCATTTTTATATCCAGCATATGACGAGCACTTGTAAATTTTGATGTCATTTTTTGGTATTAAAAGTGCACATCATACACCGGAATATACTGTAATTGTTTTAGTGCATTCTTTTTTATGAAATTTTTCTTCCTGTAGAAATACTCTTGTTAATTATGTATTTTTCAGTTTGTATATGCAGGAGATCATCTTGTCCATCATTATCCAACATGGCAGTGGGCTAAAGGAGATGAAGCTAATCTAAAGGCATATCTGCCACCTGATAAACAATTTCTTGTGACTAGAAATGGTAAGATTTTTAGCATGAAACTAAAAAACTATATGATGTGGTTTTTTTTTTTTTTTTTTTTTTTTTTTCGTGTGTGTGTGTGTCAAAGTTATCAAGTTAAAACATAAAGTAAAAAAGAGCTATAATCAATTCATTAAGAAATAAATAGAAGTTTTAAAATGATTATTTTCCTAACAATCAAAGTAAGTCAACAAAAATAAAATATACTGCTATAATTTTATAATTTATAACAATAAGAATAGATTTAATAAATGGGATCACTGCAGTAATTTCAATCACATTTTGTGGCAGCAAGATACCTTGAATATTAATTTGGGTTGCTTATGATGCTTGCAGTTTAGTTTGCCTCAGCATCATCTGTTTATAAATCAAATTAAACCTCTTATGACTATAGTAGTATACTTTTGAATATTTTTGTTGTAATATTGAATTGTTTGCTTATCTGTGTCATGATAGAGAGAGCTGATTAGTGACCAAATGGAAAAATTGCCCAGCTCTAGTAGTTTGACTGGGGCTTATCACAGCAAGGGCTGATCCATGGTAGTTTTCACCATGTATTGTATAACATGAATGTGAGCCAGTTCCTCATAAGAATTCCTCTAAAAAAACACTCTTTCCCATATATAGTTCTAATGAACTTAAATAAACCCATAGTAGGTAAAATGTTTGGAGATTATCCAGCAAAGATATTAAGAAATGAGTTTTTAAAAATCATCACTTAATGACAGTGTAATAAATTTAAGTTAATCTTAAATGTATGTTTAACACTGAGGGCAATTTGAATTTTATTCTTGTTTCAATTTTTATAGTAAGCAAACATAGATTTTTTTAATTTTTGAGGTATAGAATAAAGTATATGATGTTGTTATTAAATCTGTAGTTATTATTTTATTGTATTATGATCTGATCCTTGATTAATTTTATATTTCATTTTATAATTTTTAATTAATTAAAAAAAGTATGCAAATTTAACATTTGAACATCATTCATTTAACATTTTTATTTTCTTTTAATAACATTTTACTTTAGTTTAATGTAAGTTGCTGTAAATTGTTTTTTTGCAGTGCCTTGTTATAAACGTTGTAAAGAGATGGAGTATACTGACCATCATGAAGAACTTCTTGAAACTGAAGATGAGGATGGTGGTTGGGTAGATACTCATCATTATTCAGGTAAAACCTTATAATCTGGCAGTATTCAAAGGCACATAAAATGTAATATGATCAAAAAATGATAACAGCAAAAATAATAAACAATTTTGAGTTTATTTTGATTTCGTTTCTGCACTTTACCAGTATTTTCATATTCAGGTTTCCAGATGTTCATATACACTCTTAGCTTTCAAAAAGGAATCCTAAAATATTTGCAGACATAAAAATATGTAAGCATAATCTATATATCTGTTTCCCAATTTCTGTAATTAATTGAGAATTTGTTTAAATTACGTGATTAAAACATGTTTTAATATGAAAAAAAGAGGTTCAAAGAAGTGTACTATTTACAATTATTGTTTGATAATAAGTTTTAGTGTACATAGAAGTTTTGATTGTCTCGCATTGTACCATGCTTTTTTTCACGTCCACTCCGATATCCAATCGATGAGGACCTGGTAGAAAATTTCATGTGTAACAAATGGGAAAAACCATCCTTCAATGTGGAAATTTATGTTCATAACCCTTGCAGGGTTAAAACCTACATGCTCAGTATATATACATATATTCTCTAACTTGAAGCCACTTATTTATATTAGATATTGATCTGTTTAGCAAGTAGTAGTTCTCAGCACAAATCCTATTTATAACTTTGTTAGATGAGATAGCTAATTTTAAAATTGTTAATTAACATATTTAATTGCTAATGTGTTATTAAGATAACAATTAAGTGGGAATTCCATTTGTAATTTCTATTTGCATTGCTTTGAGCTGAGAGTATATGTGTTGTTTAAGAGTTGCATAATTACTGTTCTGTCATATTAGACTTAGTTATTTATAGATTCATCTCTTATGTACATAACCTACAGCACTCTTAAATTCAGCACCTTTTAGTAGTAGAATTTTCATGTAAAAAGATACCTTGCATATACTTCATACCAATTTTTTTTTTATAAATCTGGTTAAGTGAATATTGACTTTAAACTCAAAATGCTAAAGTGTTTATTAAACACTAAAATTAATGGCCATAGAGAATTAATAACACTTGATGCAGTATTCCATTGACATTAATTTTTGTGAGCTAATTGTGTTTTAAGGATGAAATTTTTTCTTTTCACATTGGCAAATAAAAAATGGCATTTGCCTTTTTTAGTGTATTTAGCTGTTTTACTTTAAAATTGATATCTTTATTATTTTCATAATGAAACATTTCTGTTTGCTTCTATTAACAAACTTTGGCTTGTTGCCTAAGGTTATTTCTTAGTTGATGTTTTTCTCTTTTCATTATTAACACTTGATGATTTCTGAGAAGCAATAGGTGAAATGTCAATTATTCTTTTATAGTTATTTGAATTTCTGTCTTATTTAAATAAACTGTTTTATTTAGTAAAAAGTTTTTGGTGTATGATCATTATATAGTTATCATATGTTATTTCACACAATATCTTTCTGCTGTTCTGATTTTTAATTAAAAAAAGTACACCATGAACTGATAAAGCAAATTAATCTGTGTATCAAATACGAGTCTGATGAAAATAATGGAAATTAAAAGCAATCATTAAGAGGTAGTAGATATATTGAATGCATAAAGCTATATATATATATATATATTGAATGCATTAAAGCTGTATATATATTGAATGCATAAAGCTATATATATATTGAATGCATAAAGTTGTATATATATTGAATGCATAAAGCTGTATATATATATTGAATACATAAAGCTGTGCATCTGATAATGCCATTGCAGAACATGCACAAGACCTTTAAAGTAATGATTTCTTTGAAAGATGCTACTAAGATAATAAACTGATATTGTTCTCATCAAACAATGCTTGATATTGCTCTGCAGTTAATATCCAAATTAATCTTTGAAATTCATGGGCTTTTATTAGTTTGGAATCCAGTTCACATCTTGCATTCTCACTTTAATCATTATTCTTTGTGTAAGCACGATTGTAAATTATTTAATTGTTATTAGACAAAATATCTATTGAGAAAATGGCAACAGTAAATTTCTGGATGTCATTCTATTTATAATTTTAAAAAAGATATTCAGATGATGTACGCTTAAAAAATGTTTAACGGTACAATGCAGTAAGTACGTTTGTTATGTTATGTACATTTACGAAAACATTACGTGTAGGTTATTAAGATTTATCTTTAAATAAATGTTTGTTTGTCTTTTACAACCATTTTATGAGTGATTAATTTAACTACAAAAGGAAGTTAACATTTGTAATACTGTTTGACAGCTATGCAAATTACTGATTACCTAGTATTAGTATTGAGTTTGTGTATTATGCTAAACTAGTTGAATAGACTGTACAAAGAAAAAAATATCATTTTTTATTAGTACAGTCTGGTATGCTCTAGCATGTTGCCTTAACCGAATCCAATGACTAAGTAAACATTTTCTTCCTATACAATAGATGGTGGTGTATTCTAACTTAACATGTTGCTGCCTGTTGAAGTTCCAAATTTCCATATATAAATTAAAAACATACAGATTTAACATTTTAAAAATAATTAGTTGTACGGTCGAAACATAAAAGGCTAATAGGAAATATTCCATCGTAAAATACAGTATAAATAATGAAAAAAGATCAATAAGCATTATAAAGAACATAAACTATGTTGCAGTCTTACTTGGCCTCTTAAAACAGCTCCATTTTCAATATGAAGTTTTTTACAAGCACAGTTTTCAATATGAGCACAGTTAATCTAATCCTAAGCATTGTTATCTTTGATGGGCATTAAACAAATCTGACTCATACATCAAGCATATGTAGTATTTGATAATTTCACTTCAGCAATTTTTGTTTATTACTTTTACTAACTAGGTAAAACTTCTATTATTCTAAGTAAAGACCATTTAAATGGGGAAAGATCATCTTCCTTTTAAGATAATTAACATGCATTCTTTAAATTTTCTTTATTAATAAACCAATTTGGTGTGCTGTTGAAGATGATTTAAATAATTTTGCCAACATTTCCAAATAATTTGAATGGACTTGTATATGATTTGTCTAACCATAAAATGTTAATTATCTGCCGTTTAGGAAGTCTGTTATTTGTAAGGTGAGACAAATCAGGTTTGGGATAAAAAATAATAGAATGTCTGTTTAAAAAATGACCAAGTCTGAAGGCCTTAATTCATAATATGTTGATAAAGGTGATATCAGACAAGAATTGAAAACACATTCAGTCCAAAATTCTTCTAAAGTCAATTTATAAATTTCTGATTCTATACTGAAGATAGTATTTAAATGAATTAATGATTACTTCCTATAAACAACCAAAATCTGGTATCATAGGTGGAAGTTTCTAGATTACTTCTGAGGTTAAGAAATTTGTGTTATTCAGAATTAGATTTAAGGACTACATAATTTTTTCAGTTCTGATTTTATGCCAACCATATTGGTATCAATATCTGACATTATGGTATTAAATTTCCCATGTCTAGCAATAAATCTTTTAATAGTACAAATAAGGCATCTGTTGTTAAATCAGTTACTGCCTCTAAATATATTGCTTTAGTAGCTAAACATATAAATACAGCATCACACACTATTGCGTTATTGGCTTTTCATTGATTTTTATACTTAATGAGGAAGGGACCAGAAAAATAAAGTACATAAGCTTAATACAAATCTTGGGTGAAGTCTTTCACCAGGTGAATCTCCCATAAATTATTTATATATGATTTGTCTAACCATAAAATGTTGCACATTGATATTCAACCTTTCAAGCTATATCTTGGCCATTAATAACCTAAAATTTGCTGCAGGCCTGTTGCAATAAAGCTTGTGCATCAAGATGTAAATATTTAACGTAATAACATTAAAAAATTAATGTAGTAAATGCATGATTTTTTTGGCATTACATAAGGAATTTTTTTATTATAATTAAGTTGTTTAATTTTTAAAGCTGTCTAAAAAATGGATATAGAAAATTTTAACGATATAGAAAATTTTAACTTTTAAAAGAAACGATTCTTATTTTCAAGGAAAAACTGTCCTTGCCAAAACATCATGATTGTGCATACCTTTTGATGATTTTGTCAACACCATTCAATTCTTTAATGGTTAGAGAACTTTTTATATTTTCCCTTTACAATTGTCTATAAATCTGCTAACAAAACTTAATACATGAATCATATGGGCATAATTATTACTAATACTATGATCTAAAGAAAGGGAATTAAGAGTTCACATTCAGATTAACTGTATCATTGTCCTTAAGTTTGAGTTCCCAAGATTTTTTGCTTCATCAATTAATACAGCTATTAAATAATAAAGCTTCCGCACTTCCATTAATTGTTATTTTCAATATTTTTGAAGTGCAGCTTAGTTGCTTGTTTTAGTATATTTACCAGAAAATTTAGGAATTGGTAATTCTGACAAATGTATTTGTACTTTAGAATCATATTTGCTACAGTCACTTTCATGTTTGGATTGAACAATAAATGATAGAATTTCTGTAATTCTTACTTCCCAAACTTCTGGTTTTTTTCCTTTGCCATATTGGCAGTTTCTTCATCAGTATTCTATGATACCTTTTTTTACATCAGTAATTTCAAGATGTCTGTTTCATAATATCCATTTGAATATTTGAAGGTGATCTTTACTTTATTAGAAATACTTTCTTGTTTTACATGGTCATCATATCCCCTAACCATATTTTCTAATTTAGTTTCACTCAGTGCTGTTTTACTTTTGTTCTAATATAAACATATTGGTTCTCTACACCAGCTTATTAAGGGCCAGATGAATATGTTTACTGTGCTAAACTAGTTGAGTGGGCTTGCTACACTGAGAAAAAATAACAACTCTATTAACATTAATTCTGATAACATGTTACTGTCGTGCTCTGGTATATTGCGTTAATTGAATGCAGAGTGGCTAAGTGAGTGTTTTCTTTCTCTACAAAAAGTGGCACTGCATTCTATCTTAAAAAGAGATACCTTTTATAAAACCTGCAAACATTAACTGTACAGTATTCAATCTTTATATAATGGACTGCTTAGTTTTGCTGTCTATAATCGTGTTGAACTTCCAGGAGAAATAAGATACTTGGAAATTAAATATATATTTTTATTGCTTGTAAAATTCCTGTCACATAGGTTGAAAAACAAAGACCTTGTTAAAAATTGCACTAGAATGTCTGTATTTTTCCCCTTGCTGTAATTCACCTTCTTGAAAAGTCAACTGTATCAAAATAGAATTCTGGCCATTTTTTTCAGTGAATTTCTGCACTTTTGCAGTAAATTCTTTAATTTAGACCCACAGCATTATTCGACTTGCTGGGGATAAATGCAAATTAAATTGAAATTTATATAACCTTGAATACAACTTCAAGTGGTTGTTGCAAGATAAACATATGGTTAAAACAGAGTAGACAGCCTGTTCCGATATGTAGTTGATCATTGAAGTAATTAAAACCATGCCTAATTAATCTTCCTGAATGTTCATTGAAATTCATATTTCTTTTTTTAATATTGCAGATAGTACAGTTGCAGCAATAGCAGAACAAGTGCAAGAAATGACTATGGAGCCAGATGTATGTATTATCAACTTAACCTTTGTCAGTATATATGTATTATTAGTATCGTTAATTCTTTTAGCAATGCTTTATACTGTATTTATAATATTCTCAAATCGTTGCATTTTGAAGAATTTTATATCACTCTTTTTCTATTCCTTATGCATTTTCTTGTTTTTATGAATATGGCCTTGATTAAAAATTCTTGGAGTATGTGTCTTTGTCTTTATGCTAATGGTCTTAAAAAGCAAATGGATTACTGGAAAAGGATTTTGCTGTTTATTATATCTGCTTATTTAAATGAAATTGAAGTGTCTCTGAAGTGAGAGAACAGAGGATTAACTGAATAGATTACCATCGCTATGACACAGATCATAACGATTTTCATGCTGTAATGTTTCTTAAATAAAAGCTCATCATATTTTTCGTGCTGTGTACATTTGGCATTGAAAAAGCCTGAAAATGTTAGCAAGCCCAGCTTTATAAATAATGAAAATGTAAAGTGAACATAAGTGGAAAACAGTTTATAGATTTGAAGAAAATATTGTGATCAGTTGCTGTGTACGAGTTGGGATGAATAAATAAACTGTTTAATTGGAAGAAAAATATGCCAATGTAGAATCTAAAATTAGGCAGGAAAGCAGCTTTTGATTTTTATTCTAAATCTATTCCATTCTTTTTTTCCCTTCCTTTAGTAAACAATTACAGGTATTAAAGATAAGCCAGAAATGATACAGAATATTAACGAACTTTTGTCTAAATGAACTATTGTTATGAATCAGATGTACGCCGCAAAAAATTGAGACTGAAAATATAATTCTTGTGATCAATTATTTTAAAATAAATTAGAATTTGTGTCTAAGTTTACTCTCAGACTTTGTAATTATAAAATGTGCTTAAAATGGTTGTCTGTTATGTAGAAATATGCGATAACTGGGTAACCAAACAAAAGAATGCATAATAAAAAGGACTTAATTCTATGTTGTTTATTCATTCAATTAATGCAATTTCTGTCATAATGCTATGACACACCATCTCCAAGCTATGTGAGGTATGTCATAATTTTTTAAAATTTAAATATGCATTTTATGTGAAGAAAAGCTCTGCATGGAATGCTAATTGCATTTTCTCATCTTATATTGCCTAAATTTTTCATTTGAACACTTTAAATGCAATGAAAAATATTTCAACCACAGACACAGTTAACAAACTGGGGGCGGGTGATGAGGTTTTATTTTTGTGTTTATCTGTTACAGTTTGTTGTATTCAGTTTAATGTCAGTTTTCTCATGGAAGGTTTCAGAATCAGGTTACTTATAATGAAATCCTAAATAAATTATTAATGGAATATATAAATGTACTTAAAACATCAGTTGTGCTTCCATTGTTTCGATGATAGAATTTATAACAAAATTTCTCTTTGATATATCTGTTTAGACCAGTATACAAAATGCCACTTCACTAACCTCCAGTGAAAAAAAATAATTTTTATATATTAACTCCAGCTATTGGAACGGAGTGTTTTCATAATTCATTAAGCAGTGGCATAGCTAGGGTTTTCAGCGTCCGGGGACAACTGAAGAGCTTGCGTCCCTTTCGGTATGCCAAAATGAAAAATGTTTTATTCTAAAATTTCGTAACATCAATTTGACACCCAGGGATGCTGCGACCGGGAACATACGTCTCCTCTTGCCCCACCTAAGTTACGCCACTGTCATTAAGTTATGGGCCAGAGATTTACCAGTGCTCTATTTCTACAATACTGTAGAAATATTTTCAGTTATATGGTTATAAATGCTAGTACAGCTTAATTCGTTAAGAGTGTACATGGCATTTCTGTTTTTCCCCCTAATGTTTATCTAAAAATATGATGACAGGATACTGCATGCAGGCATTTTTTGCTTTATATAATGGATTAATTTGACAGTAAGCTAAAGCTGTGGGGGGATTTTTCCAAGAGGTAAAAGATTCTTCAGATCTATGTTAAAGGTAATAGCTATGCAGTAGAAAGTAATAGGTTTCCTTGTAAAGAAAAAACTGATGCCATTATCAAAGGCCACCAACTGAATGGTGTTTAATGTATAAGACCCAAAAATATAAATTACTAGACTTTTCAAGTAATTTTAACAGGAATACAGGATTTCTAGATATGTCAGTAAATTTAGTTTCATACAAAATGCTAGTATGCCATCATCTGCAATGAATGTTTTGTTCTGTTTATGAAAATCAACATTTTTATCAGTAATAATAATAGTTTTAGTTAAGGAATTGAGGCATCTTGAAATATATTTTTGAAATGCCTGGCTTGACAAGCTGTATGTGCAGATTTCGTTAAGTGGTAATATAGTAATTATAACAATAATAGCATTTTCAAATCGAAGGATATGGCTGCTTAAGATTGGTGTCAACCAAAAAGTAAAATCATTAATGTCAGGCTAAATTAAAAGATAGTGCAATTAATATGCACTTGCTGTTAAATATTTAAATTTCTCTTGTAATGATTTTTTTTTGTAAGAGTTTATTAAACATAGCTTTTAATTATTTGAAATTTAAAATTTTGTTTTCTTTTGAATTTATAATTTTATTTATTTTAAATTCAGACAAATGTGCCAAAGCCAATCGTTAAGCAATCAGATGATGATGATGATGAGGAGGAGGAGGATGATGAAGGAGAAGCATTGGATATGGATGCTTTTATGCAAAGTGGAATGTTAGAAAATGAAGATAAAGTAATACATAATTTATCCTTATATATAAAATAGTTTTTGGATTAACTCATATGAAAAGAAATTGTGAAAGCTGTTAAAAATAATGAATGTTAATAAAATAGTTAAATGAAATTAATAAAGTCCATTTTTATGAAAACGTTCATTAAAAGTCAAGAACTGTCTATTGAAAGGAAATAATCCATTAAAAGTAACATTTAGGCAAAATTAAACTGTGAGCCTTTTTATAAGAAAATAAAAGTAAAAATTGAAACAATTATTGCTATTAACTGGAAATTAACTTTTCAAGGAGAACAACAAATCAATTTACGATTAAATCGCAGTAATTAATAGTAGCGAATGTCTTTTTGTCATCGTATTATGCAAGAACTAATAAAAATCAAATCATGGCTCAAATATGTTGAAAAAATGTACCATAGTTTAAATCAAGAATGAAGCTTAAAAGATTTAAATATTCTTGCACAAAAAGACCATTCCCCAACACACTCGCTGTTTCCCATAATTAAAATAATTTCAAACAAAATTTGCAAAAGGAATTAAATAATTCAAAAGTAAAAAACTATAAAAATGGATAAAATTAAAAATGTAACATCTTTGTAAAAATGAATCTTTTTATATTAACAAAAATAATGCATGAAGGTGGCAAGAAATGAATTAAATTTTAACTTGTTTCCTAAGTGGACAGCAAAATGGCCATGTAGTTTGACATCATGTAAGTTGCTGAGGAGTGTGAAAGATTGAAGCACAGAAAATTCGGTACCCGTTATCAGGGCTGGGTCCAGAAATGTATGTTTGTGGATATGTATATGTTCACGTATGCCTGTGTGTATATGTATCTGTGTGTGTACACACATACATACATAAAAATGTGCATACATACGTACATAACACTTCTGAATCTGGTCTTGATAACAGAAGAGTACCAAAAATTCCGCATGTGCTCTTAATGATCCTTCTCCTAAATACTCTTTCCATATGCCAATGTATGCTTGTGCATTCAACTTTAAAGATTTGCATTTTTAGGGAAAATATATTTTGTACTTTTTGTTCAGTATTTATTTTTTGAGAAAATTACCAAAATATGCAAATTATCCTAATTTTAAACACTAGCGTTTCTATTGCATCATTTAGTATGCATTGCATAAAACTGCTGTTTAGAAGTTTTGTTTTTTAAAATCCTTATGGAATTAGTAATTTTTAGGTATTGATAAGATTATTTTTTATGCTAACAGTTCTATGTGTTTCGTGTAAATTTTTGAAATTATTTATAAATTATTGAATTTTATAAAAAATGTAAAGCATTTTTTATTTTCTTTAACTCCCACCTTAACACAAATACTATTTTAAAATCGTCACAGATTCAGAATCCCATCCATCTACATTTACTGAGTGATTCATGCTCCCATTTATATCAGGCATACTTATAATGTATCCCAGGGGTTCCCAGTTTTTAGGTCACATTCTAGAATATCTGTTGGATGGTGGGCACCATTTACTTTTGTAAGGTGAATTTATAGTTAGATAGAATTAATAATACATACACATAAAAAAGGAGGTGGTTGCATTTTGCTTTGTGCTGCTCTGTATTGGACACAATTTCTTCATTAAAAATGAGAAAACTTTCATGTAGAATTTTTTTGAAAACAGAAACATTTTTATTGTGATCGCACATTGCAGGCACATGTTAAATGATTGGCGGGTGCCATGGGGCCTGCGGACATAGGGTTAGGAACCCCTAATGTATCCCATTGTATGGTTTAAGAATTGGCACCTTACTTATAATATGACTTGTATAAATACACAACTGGCAAATCCTTTTGAGATGCCACCATGAGAGTGAGGACTGAAAAAATTTAGTCTCTAGATATCTTCCAACACTAGAATATATCTAGCTCAAGTGATGTCATTTGCAGACAGATCTTTGCGAAACGGAGAGATAAATACAGAAATTATATCCCTCTTTATACAGATGGATCAAAATATTGAGATCACGTTGGCTCAGCCTTTGTAGTAGAAAAAACTATTCTATGATTTTGATTATACCCGGCTTGCTCCGTTTTTAACCTCTGAACTTGCTGTTTATCAGGCTCTAACGTTTCTGTCAAAACAACGTTACACAAATTGCATTATCTATACAGATTCTTTGAGTGCCTAAACATCATTCAAAGAGCCTAAGTATAATTCACATCCCAGTATTACCAGAATTCTGAAACTTAATGAAACTGTTAAAATATCGGCGTATCAGATTCTTTGTTCCTGGATCCCTGGCCATGCTAGCATAAAAAGGGTTACACCGGATTACTAGCAGACATAACAGCTAAAACTGCTACTACACTATCTAATTCCCAGATTCCACTCACAGATATCAGTGCGGTCATTAAATACATCAAATGCATAATTGCTCTTGCCATAAAATTTTTAATAAATGGCATAGGCACTGGGATGACCAGTCGACCAACTTGCGAATATCTGCTGAAAGGCAAGAAAAATCCTCGTTGCACAAACTGTAATAAAGATTATACAATTTGCCATATTTTATTAGAATGTTATAGTTTTAATTATCTTTAACAAAATCATTTTAATTGTTTAAAATTAGATTTAAACAACTTAATAAGGAAAAGCCATCATCAAAGTTGTTCCAGTTTTTAAAGGATACTGACTTGTATTATAACTGTAATCTATTTTTATCTCACCTAAAATGTATAGTAATTGTCCATATGAAACTTTTAACATACTTTGTATTCATTGTTTTTACCCTTTGTTTGGTGCAGATAACCTTGTAAGGTTTTGTGCCAGAAACTACAATAAATTAAATCAATCCACCTTAATAAGTAAGAGTTTGTCCTTAGCTTAAGAAAAAAACAATTCTGTAGGTATTAGATTTTTGAATAAAGGCTTATAAAACAGTTTTTGGGATTAAATATAAAATAATAATAATTGTCATTGAAATATTCATTGCATTTCTGTCTGCAAGAGTAAATTAATAGCTTATGTTCTGGGATGCATAAGTCTTAAAAGGAAAATAGTTTCTTGTGAACCACTTTTGACAAATAAAATGTGGTCCCAAACCAAGTGATTTAATGCTAATAATGGATAAGTATGATATCACAGTCCATTAAAATCTTTGCTTTTTATTATGCAACTCCAATACTCAATAAGCTAATTTAATTTTTCTAAACAATACAAATTGACTGCTATTTCCGTTTTTCTCATGCATTTCTTAAAATCATTAAAAGTTGGGACCTGCATTCTATGGAATAACAAGCAATTATTTATGAAATAGCAAGGAAGTATTTTCAAAGTTATGTGATTTGTATGCATATTCAAAACATTGAAAGCCTCTGAGGTTTGCTGAAAAAACACTGCTAGACACTACTTAAATTCAAATTTATGTGGCTTAAAGTTTACAAAAAGAAGATATTAGAAATTTTGGCCTTTGGAATGCCTGATATATATTTTAATGAATTTATTTACATACAGAAGACATATTCCATCGAACGTTATCGAACATGATTGTTTTGGTAATGTTGGTGTAATGAATGTGGAGGAATAAAAATGATCAATAGGCCCTTGCACATTTTCAGCTCCTTTGTGATCAGCCAGCAACATCAGAATACGGTCACAGACCTATTGATCATTTTTACTCTTATACAGTCAAAAGTCGTTAATCCGGACTTGTCGAGACTTCGGCGATTCCGGATTATCGATTTTTCCGGATTATAGATCATCAGTTTAAATCTGGTAAGATGGCATGCAGAAATTAAAAAATTAAAAATATGAAACCGTAATTTATGAAATAAAGAATAATTATGATCTAAAGGGTATCAAAATTTACAAAAAAAAAAAAAAAAAGCTTAATATTTATTTGTTTACTTTGTTAAACATTTCTTTCAATGTAAGTTGTTTAAGTTGCTTCATTTTTATGTGATAATACATTCTCTTTAATTCTAATAAACAGACATAATTTGTTTCAGTTACAAAGTTCCGCTGTTCAAGTCCTATAATTGCTGTGTCTACCAACTAATTTGTCAATTGAAATTTTTTCGTTTTCAATAACCTCTGTCACTTTCTTCGCTAATCGGAAGTGAATTATAATGACGAGGAATTTGATTTGATTTAAATCATATCAATGACTGAGTACATCGAGATGAAATACTACATTTACTAAGGAATTATTAGCCAAATAAAATAAAAACATCTGCCCTGAAGATAAGGATAGTTCTGACAAATCAACTTCCAATTCATTGCGCACCAGCACCACCGTGGCGTCAAAGATAAACAAAGTTTAGATAAACAAACGTTTAAAGTTTAGATAAACAAAGGATATGCCTTTATCCATTTTTTGCAGCAATTCCACTTTTTGTTTAATGAACTTCGAAATATACTTTCGCTTTATAGATCCTTTACATATTAATAAATATATATCAGAAATTCTATTTGTCATAATCGAAAGTTCAAGCTTACTTTTATAAAATTGCTCTAACAGTCTGCAAAAAATAATAAGCCGGATCCAATTCGAAGATTAAGGAACAACGCAATCTGCAACATTAACTGAAATAGATAATTAGATAATTTTAGCTTAGCTTATACCATCCGTTATACATTAAACGCGCACTCGTAAACGTATTTTGTGCACACGCACAAGCATATTCGCAGCCGTAAAGGTCTTACGTGCATGTGCCAATGCGACACATGCGCAGAAAGTTTGTTGCTTTGAGGTCCGGATTATAGATCATTCCGGATTATGGGTGTCCGAATTAACGACTTTTGATTGTATAAGGTCACAGACCTTATATAAGAGTTTTAGAAGTGGAAATGGATCTTTTTTTTTTTTTTTTTTTAATGGACAATAATTCTCATCCACATCAAACCTTGACAAAATGCTTTAACCTTTTAAAGGCACAGGTATATAATATATACTGGAAGTTTGTCAGTTTTTTTAACCTCCTAAACAATGCTAAATTTTTTCTACACCAGAAACTGTAATCTTGAGTTTCTAGTGT